CCAGCCATCCAGCCAGTTTTTTACCCAGCAAAAAGTATGTCTGTCCAAGCCATGAGCAGCCATGGACTAGTAATGTTTTTGTGATGAGTAACAGGAGAAACTCTTAAAAGCTTAAGTTGGCAATTTATTTTCCCCCCCAGTCTATTAAATTATAGCATGACAGTAAGTAAACCTGTTTCCTCAGGATTTCTGTGGCAACTTTCATTTTATCAGTAAGGCTGAAGAGATGGTATTATTCTAGGTGGTTCCTCTAGACTCTGCTTGATACTGCTTTTTTCTCTTATGCTGGTGTTAGTTGCTTCCTTGCACAGACAAGCGGGATGGGCTGTGATTAAACCAAAGTGGAGGGACAGTAACAGAATTAATTTTAATTGAAAGTATACATTGTCTTCATAACTTCACAACAAAATTTGTCTGATTTAGGCGTGGGGTTTTTTTTACTACCTGTTGTCTTTCTTTTGTTTGTTCAATTGGCCTTACATTTAGTAAGTTAGATAAGTTCTTAGATAGCCTCATTCACTAATACTTTCATCTCATGAATAAGCACTCTGCTACTATTTAAGAGAGTCCTAATGGTCTTTGTGGCAGGAAATTCACAGAATATCTTTAAAGAAGAAAAAGTTGCTATTCTTTTTTCTCCACATCCCAGAATATTCTTTCAGTTCTGCTGCACACTTGAACTTTCTCGGGTTCAAGTGGTCAAAGATATAATATATCACCTCTGAATGCTTTCTGTTTTTCAAAACCCTGATATAAATTTCATCTCTTTTTCAAATATTATAATAGAAAAAGATAAGCAATCACCAGATATTAATTTACTCCAGACCTTTGTTCTATGGCAGAACCAACTACATATGTGTTTACCTTGCCCTATGTATAAAAATTTCATGTGAAATTACAAAGACCTCTCAGTCCTGAAGATCCCACGGTTTCCCTGGGCAGTCTGTTCTCATGATTCTCTATCCTTTTGTTAGAAAATGTTTCTTGCTACACTTTAAACTTATCACTGATTATTATGTTCACTATTTACATACAGAAAAAAAATACTTCCTTATTTCAGAAGCTGCTTGCATCTTCAAAACCTGCTAGCATGTGCCTTTTCGGTGTTCTGAAGTGGTTGATTATTTTTAGCTAATTCAATGTTTTTAAAATGGCCTATTTTTCTCCTGAGCATAATGGACCATAAGTACTGATAAAACTTGATGTTAGAGTGAAACACCTCCATGTCAGTTTGGGTACCTCCCAGAAATGAATTCTTTCAGAAGGTTTTTCTTTTCTTTTCCATGCAAACCCGATAGTGCCAACAGTCATCAAGAGCATACGGCTACAGAATTCCATAGTTAACTGTTCATAGGTTTGTGACTTGTTTTGCTATATCCTAGACTGCCATCTCCTGGGCACTCCCTCTGCAGCAACAGCTCACTGCGATTTGGGAAGAGAATGCAGTAGATGATCGAAACCCTTTGGGACTCTGCTCTGTTGAGCTCTTCCAGGCTGGGATCTGAGTGCTTAGCTAAGATTTAGTGGTTTTTTTCCAGATTATACAATACCCAGAATCTCTCTTCCTTCACTTTTTCTTAGGCCTACTCTACCAGCACTTTTTTTTTACCTTCTCCATTTTCTGCTCCTTCCCCTGCCTGCTTCTTACTATTTATGTCTTATCTCCATCAACCCTGCTGAGTGGCTGCCTGCGT